ACGGGTGAAGAAGCGGCAGCTTCTTTGGCCTCCTAAACGAGGAGCTTGGCCTTTTCCTCCGGCTTCAACACTTAAAGGAAGAGTAGAATTTGCCATGGCTGTCCTGAGTTTCTTCCCGGCCATATGTGCCTTGTAGGCTCTTCTGTGCTTCATCCGCGGGGAGTTAAGTCTCAGCCCCGCCTCGGGTACAAGTGGGTGGTGAAGCCTTTTAGCAGGGATGTGTGTTTCTTACCTTCGTTTCCCGTTCCTGGATGACTGCTCGAATCGCTGGTTCAGTTGTGCAGGAGCTGTAACATCTCTGGCCGCCTTTTTTTCACAGCAGAAAAAGGCAAACCCTCCTCAGGTCTTCCAGAGAACAGAACGGAGCGTCTCCTCCCAGGAGATGATTCCCAGCAGCAGATCCCAAGCTGGTGGAGCTGTGTTTACAGCCCTGCTCCCAACAGCCAGCAGAGGGAATTTAGCCACACTTCTGTTTTCACTGGTTCCTGGAGAAAGGAAGATCTTGGCTACGCACAGAGACTGTCGGGGATCTGTTTCTTTGATCTGTAGAGTTGGGATCAGCACCTTCTTCCGGATCCTGCGTGTATCAGGTGTCTGAAATCCCGATATTGCTGGGTTTGATTTTACATCATGTCTTCGGTCACTTTTTTCACAAGGCACTAAATGCCACATAGTTTTCTTTGCATGGGTAAAAGGAAGTCTCAGACCTCTGAAACACGGCTGCAAAGAACGAGACAGTTTTGCTCTTGCTGCTTTTTGTTCTCTTAAAGCGAGGTGAAGGTGATACTTGGCCACAGCTAGGTGGCCAGTTTTCTGTTAGAAGGCTCTGGTTTTGTCCCTTGATCTCTTGGTTGAAGACTGGTTACAGAAACATGGCAAGAGTTCAGGTCCCTGATGCGGAGCATCCTGTGTGCCCGTCTCCCTGCACAGCTGGACCACAGGCAACTGAGTCAACTGTTGCTTTTTGCTTGAGGAAGAGACCTAGTGGCAGTATCTGGGGGAACTGCGAGCTTCAGCTCTTCTGGATTCTTTGCACTGTAACTCCTGGCCAGGAGAATAACCTGACAAGCTACTGCACTTGCTGCAAGGGCACTGGGTTCTCAGGAGCGTGTCTTACCGAAATGAATTGGTTCTGAGCGTTGTTGGGAGGCGAGAAAAAGCATGGAGAAATGATTAGGGTGCAGTAGTAAGAGGAAGGTCACTAAATTCTGCTTTGTAAAATGAGCAAAAGGTTCTTGTAAGGCTAAGATCAGGAAGGAAATAACAGCATTTGGCCCTGGTTCACCTGCCGGTTCTTACTGAGCAAAGAGCTAAAGCTCCCACTTGGCTCGCCTGGGGCTTGCTGCCACACAAGTTCCCTCTGGAGAGCAGTACGGCTGCTCACCAGTGAGAAATGCTGCTTGGGCAGTGAATACCCGTTAATGTGCTTTACTGTAGTGTGGTGCAAAATGTGAGTGTGTTGCTGCAATGAGCTTGGAAGTGGGAGTTGCTAAGAGCTGCGGACCAAGCTGCAGCAGCTCCAATTGCTTATGGACGGCCAGCAGAGAAAACCCAATGTACAACTGCTTAAAGCGTTCCCCATTAGAGCTTTTGTCCTCCCATATGGTGTAAGGATGGCCTAAGAAATGGCTTTATTGCCTTTATTTTTATAGTATTGCTGCTGGAATTTACATTAAAAGACTTTAAATGGGTGAAGAGTGCTTTTTCATATTTTTGAGATTGACAGTTGTAATGAAATAGGCTGAATTCTGAGAGATTTATCTCTCTGTGCACCTTTAAGGGCTCCTTCTCATTCTCTGTGTTGTGCTTTGAATCAGCTGTGATCACAAAACAGCTGAAGCTGACTCCTGGGCTGCAGTTTGTTTAAATTTCACAAATTGTGACAGCAATAGGCAGCTTTTGTTGCACTTGATTTATCTGGGAAAATGAAATTCATTCCCACCAGTATTAATGTTCCCAGGAAATATGATCCAAAACTCAGAAATTTTTTAAAGGGTCTTCCCTTAGTTATACATCAGAGTGCCTGACTGGTTTTAATACTTGTCTATTGAAATTAAATGCCTTTGGAACATTATAATGAAATACATAAATGTAGTTTAGGCTTGGAATTAATACTCTCCGAGGTTAATCTCTAACCATCAGGCAAGTTGCTACTGAACATACAGGCATGTTCTTGGGATGGGTTCTCTGCAAGGTTGTTCAGGGTGGATGCTTGCCCTAAGTCCACTTGAATATCTCGTGTAGTTCTTCAGATTTTTTCTGCCTCACATTGTTGCAGGGAGAGATGCACCTTCAGAAGGTAATTTTATGCCTTTAAGTTTTAGGAGTTGTAGGACACAGCTTGAGACGTTCATTTTTCCCAGATGTCTGGTAATGTGTAGATGTCTGCATTCTTTGAATTTACCCTAGATCCTAGAGTTTTAGATATTTTCAGTTAGCTGAGATTCAGCTCTTCTGTTATACCCTGGAATAAAAATGTTCTACATGAGCTTTAATTAGAGAATTCAAATGATGCAGTGCTAAAAATGCAAGCTGGGGAAGACAGTCTGTCAGGTTTATGTAGTGCAATGCTGCTCTGGGGAGCAAGAACATCAAAAGAGTGTCTTGCCTTTGTGCTGCTGGGAGCAGTGGAGCGATCTGGACTTGCTTAAGGTTAGCCAGTGGAGCTCAGCTGAGCTGAATCAGCTGAGGTCTCTTGTGAGATGCCATCTCTAAGGCAGATGCACTAATTAAGTACAGTATTTGTAGTATTTGCATACCACAGATCTGACAAAGGACAGCTTTACCAGTGCTACAAATGTATTACAAATGAGCTTGAGGCTAGCTGGCCAACAAATGATGTTTCATCTCATGCTAGCTTGCTGTTAAGTTTACAGAGCACCTTGTGTGTGATCAGGCTTTGTTTAAACCTCTGTTTTGTTACAGTGAATTGCCTGGATCAACACGTCGAAAGGTCTCCGAACAGAGTGGCTTTGATTTGGGAGAGAGATGAGCCTGGCACTGCAGTGTATGTCACATACAGGTATTGTACCTTCTCCCCATGGCTGGCAGTGTGGTGGGGTGGGGAGAAGAGCTGCTGCTCTGAAACTGAACCCTTGTGAAACTCTGCTTCCTTCCAAGGTACTCCAGCACATAGGACATGCAGCTGCAGCTAGGTTGTGGGGTCATGATGAGGTAGCTCCTGAAAAATGAGGTGTATTCTACTGTGAGTTCTTCATGGAGAGGCCTCCCTCATCTTAGACACCTATATAATAAACATATTACAGAGCGAGAGGTACAGCGGATGTGAGTAAGTGACAGCTACTGAACATTTCAGATTGAGATCTGGCCTCTTCTTCTTGTTATGGTGTTAATTAGGACTGCTTGTAGCTTCCCTCTCCCAAAGTTGGGGCTTTTAGAAGAGAAAGGCTTGGTTTTTTCTCCCTGGCTTATGTTTCCACTTGCCAGTTTTCTTTTTGCTCCTTAGAAGTGTTCATGGGAAAATGTTTGTGAGCAGCTTTTAGTTTCAGCACAGTAGCAAATGCCTTGGTGCAAATGTTGTGTTGATGGTCACTGAGTCCTGATGAGGTGGGATTTGAAGCTCCCTGTGTTTCTCTTCCCCTGCTCAGTGCAGTTTAGAGCAATCTTGAGGCTGCTCTGTGTGGCATCAACTTATAATTGCTGCTATAGATTGTAAGGTTAGAATATGGCAGTTTTCAAGCATGTTTCTTCTCCCTGCTATGTGCCCTCATTTAGGGGACAGGCCTGCCTACAAAAATGACTTTTACATTGTCTGTCTCTTTAGTGAGAGTTAAAGGTTTCCCAGACTTGTATGTCAGTGCGTATTTACGGAGCCAGATGTTTGATCTGCTGGATCAGAAAGCAGAGGGAAGTCCTGGCATCTGACTCTTTTGCAAAATGTCTTTTGTACCTTATTGATAGTTGGGATTGCTGAAGCTGCTTGAGTTTAAATAGCTTCTGGTGGACTGGTTCACAGAATCGCAGAATGTTAGGGTTTGGAAGGGACCTCTGGAGATCATCCAGTCCAAATTCCTTGCCAGAGCAGGTTCACCTAAAGCAGGTTGCACAGGATGGCATCCAGGTGGGTGTTGAATGTGTCCAGAGATGGAGACTCCACCATCTTTCTGGGCTGCCAGTTCCAGTGCTCTACCACTCTCAGAGAAGTTCCTCCTCATGTTTAGATTGAACTTCCTATGTTTAAGTTTGTGCCGGTTACCTCTTGCCCTGTCACTGGACACCACTGAAAAAAGACTGGCCCCATCCTCCTGACACCCACCCTTAGACATTTATAAGCATTGATAAGATCCTCCCTCAATCTGCTCCAGACAGAAAAGCCCCAAGTCTCTCAGCCTTTCTTCGTAAGAGAGAGATTCTAGTCCCCTAATCATCTGCTCCAGACAGAAAAGCCCCAAGTCTCTCAGCCTTTCTCCATAAGAGAGATATTCTAGTCCCCTAATCATCTTCGTAGCCCTTTTCTGTACCCACTCCAGCAGTTCCCTGTCCTTCTTGAACTGGGGAGCCCAGCACTCCAGATGCTGGGGACACAGCACTCCAGATGTGTCCTCACCAGCGCAGAGTAGAGGGGGAGGATGACCTCCCTCGACTTGCTTGCTGCACTCTTCTTGATGCACCCCAGAATGCCATTGGCCCTCTTGGCCACAAGAGCACATGGCTGGCTCATGGTCAGCCTCCTGTCCACCTAACCTGGGATTATACGTGGGATGTTTCCTCCCTAGATGCAGTACCCTACACTTGCCCTTCTTGGATTTCATAAGGTTACTCTCTGCCCAATTCTCCAGCCTGTCCAGTTCTTCACCTTCAAAATTTATTAAAGTTCCCCAAAACATTATTTATTGAGTAAGGAGGCTGGTCAGCTGGGGAGAAGTGGGTGTACAAGTAGCTTTAAGAGGTTAGTGCTCCATGTGACAGAAATAAACACTATTTGATATAAAAATATAAATATATATATAAATAAAGATATAAATAAACACTATTTGATATAAAGCTGTGAAAGAAGTGGATTGGTTTTAACCTTGGTATTGTTATTGGCAGACTGTGTAGGCTTGTTATGATATAAATGTGTTGTAACCGCTTGGCTAAATGCTTTGAATTTTGCTTTTGCCATTCTGGTGATAGAAAAGAAGATGGAATCAAAGGTTTATCCTAGAGTTTGGTGATGTATGTACTTTTACCACTCTCTTCATGCCCCAGGTGTGAAAGTGAGGGGAGGTCAGGGGTGACAGTTGTGCCCTGATTAAACTGAGAAGGAGAGCAGCCCATCAGATAGCACAGCCTCATTCAAGGCAGCTTGAGCCTTTCCCTTAGACTGTGCTACTTGAAACGTGCTGAGCTGCTCCAGAGCCTCAAACCATCTTCTCAGGATCTGTGGAGATAGGAGGGGGCCTTTCTGAACAGCAGCAGAACTGTTTTTTTAATACCCATGCCAAAACGTATTTGGAAGAAAGCATGTTTTCAGCCTGTGGATTTGCAGTTGCTGTGGCTTGAAGACAAGTGACCCACATCTGAGAACTGAACCCCTCTTTGTCCAGCTTTACAAAGACACAGCAGCTAGCAACCTGAAAGAAGAATATCCAAGTGAAAGATGAGTTGGCAACTTCTCTTTTTGAACGTCTGCTTGTATTTGAGAGCTATGTTCCTGCTTCCGCCTGATACTCTTGGTGATATGTGATTGCATTTGAGTGATGCAGTTTCTCAAGAGACTTTGGTCCTGCAACATGTCAAACAGATGACTTGGTTCTCTGCTTATCTCATTAACTCACAAACAGCTTTGTTGAAAACACTGATATTGCGTGGGTGTGTACACAGGGAGAGAATCAAAAGTTTTGCCTTTTTTGTGATCTTTGGGCTGCAGTTTTAAAGGTTTTAAGTGAGGCAGTGATGTTTTCCAAGGTGTGTTGGCACCGACCTCCCTTTGAGGCTGAGCTTAGTTGAAAACTTCTTGCAGTAGCGTCTTGCTTTAGCTTGAAAGCGTATCAGAAAAAGGAAAGCATATCAGAAAAAGAGGTGGCCCAGAAGCTCTGATGTCAGTTGGGTAATACTCTGAGAGACTTTTGTAGCAAGGTGGTTTCTGTATGCCAGCCTCAGTGCAACACAACCCCAATGTAAAGAAGGGATGAGGGGGATCATAGTGTCACAGAATCACAGAACCGTTCAGGTTGGAGAAGACCTCTAAGATTGTCAAGTCCAAACGTCAACCCACCACCACCATGACCACTAAACCATGTCCCGAAGTGCCATGTCTATACGTTTTTTGAACATATCCACAGATGGTGACAACACCACTTCCCTGGGCAGCCCGTTCCAGTGCTGAAGATGGGTGCTGGATATCAGGAGGACCCAAACTCTGGTGTCTGTGGCAGAGACGTACCCTTTCCCTTACTGTCCAGATGTGCTGTTAATGGGACAGCAGCCATAAAGTTGTGTATTAGGAAGGTGAAGAGTTTAATTTGGTCACTGCCTTATGGACCAGATTTGGGGAAGGTCCTGGAATCTCAGCTGGGAGGTGTCCACGGCTTCAGTGCAGAGGAATGCAAGGCACCACTTTTTTGTGTTATCTGCTTTGTTGCTGTGAGTTGCTTCTCCTTCTAGGTAAACCCTGGGTGGCGCAAGGAAAGACACTGGCTGCTGGCGTGGGTGCTCTCCCCTCTCCGCCAGGGAGCTGCCAGGTGCAAGAAAACAGCTGAGCGCTGGCCCTGTTCCCGTCACAGCCTGCAAAGGAAACAGTTGACCGTGCAGGAAAAGGGCTGGAAGAGGCTTCCTCCGCCCTGAGGAAGGGGACAGGCTCAGTCAGCGGGGCCTCTGCCCTGCATTGGCAAGAAACGCAGCTGCACTGGGAAGTGCCGTCCCAGCCTGCTTATCCTCGGGTGAAGTAAGAGCCTCTGTTTGCCCCTGCTTCCCCACTACCTGCCTGCTTGCAGCAGGCAAGGAGCTGGTGGGGCCGTGCCCAAGGTGGGCTGTGTTTATGCAGCCAAGTTCAAGTTCTCTCTGCGATGAGAGGAATCCAACATCTCCTTACTGGCACAAAGGTACACAAAGCCGTGGCTGAAACATTTCAGTTTTGCTTGAATGGTGATGGCTGCCCTTACAAGCCCAGGTGTGATGATCTTTTTCACTGCTGAGTTTTGTCCTGTCTCTCCAGCTGACGCAACTCAGCCTTTCAGAGAAAAAAACCTCCCTGTCTTTTCTTGTGATTTTTCCCCTCTCTGAGTTTCATTCTTATCAAGGAGAAATTCAGCTAAATTTCAAGTTTTCTCTGGTTTTGAATGGGAAGGCAAGGGACTTGTTTTCTTACTGCTTTTTGCCAACAGGGCACGCAGTGCAGCCCTCCTGGGATTGGGTGGCTGCAGTCAGCAAAGTGGGAACAGGTCATGCCAATCTGTTATCAAGAGGTCTGGCTCTCTGAAGGCTAAACCACCATAAACTGGCTTGTAGGGCAGTGGTGAAGTAGCAGTTAACCCTCAGGAGTGTGCTGATGCGAGCAGCCAGCTGAGTTTATTGGCAGAAGGGTCCAGCCCGGCTGGGAGTGTTTTGTCCTGCTCTGTGGACGTTGTCAGGGCCCAGGAGCTTTGCAGCTTTGCAGAGGGATTTCCCAATGCGTTGCCGAGCCTGGGTTTTAAAGGGCACTCGATAATGAAGTGCATGATATAAAAACAGGTGGAGTTGGTGGCTGGAGCTGTTGCATTGCAGCGTCTAAAGTCAGCAACAGGGAATGTTAAACACAGTAGATAAAGTTATGCCAAACCTCTCCCTGTCCGACATGAGGTTGTTTATTCTCTCTGGTGTTCCCTTGCTTGCCACAGTTTCTACAATTTAGCTACATGGGAGCCAGTGTTGCCTAGCTCTGGAAAGTCCCATGGATATTGCCGAAGGGAGCTGTGTGAGGAGGTGGGCAGCGGTGTGCGTTAGCTAAGCTGTTTGTGCAGAGGGTTGCCGGCTGGGTCTCAACGGAAGGGTTTTAATTTGCAAAGGAGCTCGCTCCGGTGCAGAAAATGTTGTGGGCAG